AGCACCCCTCCATGACCTCTGAATCAGCTTCTGCCTCCAGGTTCATATCCTGTTTGAGCTCCTGTCCTGACTTCCTTTAATAATCAACAGTGATGTGGAAAAGGGAATAAACCCTTTTCTCCCCACCTTACTTTGGTCATGGTGTGTCATCACAGCAATCATAACCATAACTAAGGCACTGCCTCACTTGTCATTTTTAGTTAAACTCATAACACATGGATATGTTCTCTTTTTATTTGTAAAGAGAGCACATGGGTTGGTGCAGGCATATTACCCCAGCACTCAAGAGGCCGAGGCAGAAGAATTTCAAATAAAGCCTGGGTAACCCAGCAAGACCTTGCCTCAAAAGACTACAAAATAAATAATAACCGTTGGGGCTGGTGAGATGGCTCAGCAGGTAAAGGTGCTTGCTGCCAAGCCTGAGGACTGGAGTTCGATCCCAGAAGCAGCAGTAGAAGGAGAGAACTGACTCCTGAAGGTTGTTCTCTGGCCTCACAGGCATGCTGTGGCACAACCCTTCCACTCACACACACAAATAAATACATGCATATAATATTTTACAAAAAGAATCATGGTGGATTGGAGAGATGGCTCAGTAGTTAAGAAAGAGCACTGGCTGCTCTTCCAGAGGACCTGGGTTCAGTTCCTATCACCCACATGATGGCTCACAATCAAACATCTGTAAATCCAGTTCCAGAGGATCTGATACCCTGTTCTGGTCTCAGAGGGCACTGCGCACATATGGTGCACAGATGTACATGCAGGCAAAACACCCATGACATAAAATAAAGCAGAAATGCACAGAGAATCATGGACCAGGCATTATCTACTTTATCTTTCCACACCTTTTTCTGCACTAACATGACTCTGTTGAAAACGCAGAAAACCTTTTTGTTTGTTTGTTATGTTTTTGCAGCACAGGGAATTGAACCCAGGGCTCTTGTATATGTTAAGCAAGCACTCTGTAACTGAGCTGTATCCTCAGTTTTCTTTTTACCTTCGTATTTATTCATTCACTCATTTATTTATGAGGAAGGGTCTATGTATCCCTGACTGTCCAGGATTTTGACTTAGAAATCTGTCTGTCTCTGCCTTCTGAATACTGGGATTAACAGTGCACACCAACGTACCTAGTTTACATTTTATTTAAAGGCAGGGTCTCACTATTTGAACTTCCTATATAGCCTAGGGCCAGCTTTGAATTTACATTCCTCCTGCCTCAGCCTGCAAGTGGCAAGAGGTTGGGGAAGAGGAACTTTAACAGAAACAGCATTTTTCTCCATTATCCATGTGTTTTCCTTTTTCCTTATTTCTTTTTTCTTTTGATTTTTGTTTTTTGGGGATTTTTTTTGTTTGTTTGGTTGGTTGGTTGGTTGATTTTTTGGGGGGTTTTGTTTTGTTTTTTGAGACAGGGTCTCTGTGTAGCCCTGGCTGTCCTGAAACACACTCTATAGTCCAGGCTGGTCTTAAACTCACAGAGAACGGCCTGGCTCTGCCTCCCAGAGTACTGGGATTAAAGACATGAGCCACCTCTGCCCAGCCCATGTGTTTTTGTAACCTGGCCCTTCTTAATTCTTTTTTTGACTCTGCCCAGAAGCTCACTGTACAGAGTGGGCTCTTGCCCATTTCCTGCTTCCCAGAGGAGGGTAAATTAAGCATGGACACTTGAAGTCCCTCCCAGCCCACCACCATAGGCTGTGCTTACTAACCAGCTCCCCGACCTTTGCTACGGCCCAGATCCCTTATCTGTAGAAAGGAAAAATTCCGCAGCCTCGGCCTGTTTCACAACGCTGTGGTTGGGTTCAAACCAGAAAGAGAGGCAGGCAGGACATTTCCAAAGGACTGGCCCCCGATAGCACATGGCACAGGGCACCTACACCCTTAAGCTCTGGAAACTGTCACCTACATGGGCATCACATTCCTGCCCAACCTCCTGGAGCCAAAGGTGTGAATCAAAGCCACCAAATAGCCAAAGAGGGTGATGTTATGAAAGAAATACGGGCAAGTAGATGATCCCACGGCTTGCCAGTAGGAGTAAAGATGAAAAGGCCAAAAGAGAAATGGAGCACACCTGTGGATCCATGGGCTAAGAATCACACCGTGGAAGTGTCTTGGGACTCACACAGGAGGGTGTGTGTTCTCTGTAGCCCTGGTGAACAAAGGACTACCACACAATGGGGCGGCAATAACAAATTGGCATGTTCTACCTGTCATGCAGAAACCTTTGAACAGGGCTGGGAAGATAGCTCAGCGGGTCAAGTGCTTCCTAAAGGATCTCAGTTCTGATTCTCAGAACCCAAACAAAAGCTGGACACTGAGCCAGGTGTGGCCCAGTGTGCCGCATGCCTTTGGAGGCAGAGGAAGGTGGATCCCTGAGTTTGAAACCAGCCTGGTCTGCAGAGTGAGTTCCAGGACAGCCAGGGCTACACAGAGAACCCTTGTCTCAAAGCAAAGAGACAAAAATAACAAAAACAAGAAAGAAAGCAAAAACCAAAACAAATAGAACTGAGCACAGTAGTTCATGTCTGGAACTCCACCATTGGGGCACGTGGAGACAAAGCAGATCCCAGGGACTCACCAGGCAGTGTCTGGAAGAAAAGGTATGCCCCATATCCAATGAGAGAGCCTGTCTCAAAAAACTAGATGGAGGCAATTGAGGAAGACACCAGACATCAACCTCTGGCCTCAACTTGTGTGCCGCGCCCAGCCACACAGGTGCACTGGAGTGTATACACACACACACACGTACACTCACACACATGATTGTAATAATTGCAGATATATATATAAAAACATCTAAAGAGATACTGTACCTATAATAAGATCAAAGAAATTGCTCTTCTCTGTCTCTGTCTCTCTCTGTTGTGTGGGTGTTGGAACCCAGGATCTGCTACATATTGGATAACTGCTCTATCACTGAGCTATACCCCTAGTCCTGATTTTTTCCCTTTATAATTTATTTAATTTTATGACATTGCTGTTTTGCTTACATGCATGTCAGTGTGAGGTTATCAGATCCCCTGGAACTAGAGTTGCAGATAGCTGTGAGTTCCCATGTGGATGCTGGGAATTGAACGCAGGTCCTCTGGAAGAGCACCACTGAGCCATCTCTCTAGCTCCCCTGTTTTTTTGTTTTGTTTTGTTTTGTTTTTCTTAAACAACCAAGTATTCCTGCCATTTATACATCAACTTCTTTAACTGACAAAAAAAAAAAAAAGCACAAAACATGAAAATTCAAAAAACAAGGCTTCCATTCAAGTCGTACAGAATGAAAGTAGCCAAAGTCAACTCCAGGGTCCCTCCCTGCTCCCCTCCGCCCCCGCCCTCCAGCCAGCCCCTGAAATGAGCTTTCTTCTCCCACAGCAGGTCGGCTACACTCCAGCCAGGGCGTCTAAGAAGGAGCTGTCTTGGACTAGGCGTGTCTTCCTGTCTTCCTTCCTTCACACCACTCAGCCCCCAACCAATCACCTTTGGGATTTTCACAAGCAGGGTGCTGGAGGCCGCTTATTCAAAATTAAAGTCCCAAGCTTCTAGCTGTAGGACAACTCAGCCAAACATGGTTTTCCTTCTCAAAGCCTGGGGCACACGCCCCACTGACCCGACAGGCATGCGCAGTCCCAACGCTAACCCAGGCAGTTCCAACGCTAACACGTTAACACCCCACTACCCCCATACCCCGCAGACATCCTTAGTCTCTGTGACAATCCAATAAAGACAACACTCTTGAAAGGAGCCTGGGAACCAGCTGAGATATCCCCCTCACCCCCAAGTAAGAAAGCAGGGGTCACCTGCTCACTCCACCCACCGTAATCCGGGTGAGAAGCAAGCAGCCAGTCCACGTGCTGGGCGCACAGGGCGGGTCTTGGTGTTGGTGAAACCACAGGCTTGCCACTAACTCAAGGCTGTCACCGCTACTTTGTTAGTTCTGATGCTCGAAAGGAAAAGGGTTTCCCTCTTCCCCAGACACGGCAACCCTGGGACCCTGGGACTTCTTTGCCACCAGACCCGAGGATCTTCAGGTACAAGGGTGGAAAATCCAAAGCGCTAGCTGACAGTGTGGCCAAGAGGACTCTGATCTGCCCACCGGAACTCCAGGAAAGTCACCTATGGCTCCTTCTGGAAGGCTAGCCAGGTCCTGGGAGGTGGCAGCCAGCCTAAGAGCAACCTTCATTCATTCCCTCCTTCATTCACCCTATGATGGGGCACAGTATACGAAGCCATTCTTAAACTCCCAGTAAACAAACCTACTAAGATGAAAGATGTCAATCAACCCACGTAACAGCAGCCTCTTCTATATCCCAGGTCCAGTTCTAACTGGATGTTCCCTAAAAGCCAGCCAGCCTCGGTTTCCCCTTCCGGGGTAGCTCAGAGTCTCAGAAACATCCTTCGCTGGAGTGTAATAACATAGTAATCTCCAGGACTTAATGAGCTCTGGGCTCAATCGGAGGTCACAGGCTCTCGGGGCAGAGTCTGTGGCTTTACCGGCTCCGCCCGTTCCTAATATAGGTCCCCGGTTGAAAGGGCAACGGGACCTAAGGCTGAGTGAGATCAGGAGAGAGGCTCTCGCAGACCTGGCTGGGTACTGTCTGCCTCTGCCAGAGCGTGGGGAGGAAAGCTGCTTAACTCTCCAGGCTGGCAAGCAGTGTGGGGGCGAGCCAGGGCATCGCTAGGGCATCTGGGCGGGAGGAGCCAGGCAGAGTACCCACTGAAAACTGGGTGCCCGTGGGAACCTACAGAGATACTGGGGCCACCGGCTGCCCACACCCCTAAGGTCACTAGGTACAGTCATCAGGCGGGATGTGTAGAAAGGCTGGAGGTCAGGGCAGCAGCAATCGAAACTCAGGGACAACCAGGCCACACTTCTGCTTCAGTGAGGGTCAGGCCCCTGGGACGCTGGTGACTCAGACCTCCAAGCCTCCTGAATGAGCCTGGGCCTCCCAGATGGTGGGAAGCGTCACTGTCCCACCCTGTGCCCCTCCGCCGGAGGACGCACCACTCACCTTCAGCACCTGCTGTTTGATGAGCGAGGGCACCACGAGGATCATAACCACGCCGAGCACAGCGCACAGCAGCCCCACGACGCCCAGCCCCACCGCCACCCAGCGCGCCCTGGCGCTGCCGCCCATGTCCGCGTGTGCGGCCCGGGCTCGCGGGGCTCAGGGCCTGAAGGGGACAACGACCGAGGCGACGGAGGCCACAGAGATGACAGAAGCCGAGGCTCACGCTTCAGCAAGGTGAGTCCCAGGCAGTGGTCGGCGCAGCAGTAACCCTGCAGGTGGCCAGAGGCTTTATGCGCCATGGCCCAGCAGCCCGCCCCCTCGCGCAGCGCGGGATTCCGGGGGGGGGGAGGGGGGGCGGGAAGTGGGCGGTGCTCTGATGAGTCGTGGGCGTGGCCTCCATCTGGAGCGGCCCCTTCGAGTTGTCCCAGCTCTCTGAACTAGTGCACAGTGTGCCTGGATTCCTGCTGCGGGCTCCCCTCTGAGCTTCCTTGTCTTTCGCTTGTTAAAGTGGGAACGACCGCGCTCTCCACAGAGCGCAGAAGACCCTGGCACCTCTGCACTGGCTACCCCTACTCCTGCGATCTCTTCTTTCTCTGGACTGGCGCGAATGCCTCCAACTCCAGTATCCCCTGCCTTGCATCAGTTGCAGTCATCTGGGGCCTGCCTCCGGGCCACTCACGCCCTCCATTCCGAATTCCGTATCCCTCCCCGGCCTTTGAATGCTGTCCACTCGGAATTCCTTGTCTCTCAGGACCTTTGCACGATCTCCACTAGGAATTCCGTGTCCTTTACTGCCTTTGCACACTCTTCACTCGGAATTCCAGGCCGCAGACACCCTCTGGGCCCCGACTCCATTCTGGAAGGTGTTCTAGGGGCTTATCAGACAGAAGAGATGCCTCGCTTGGCCACTATGCTCCCGGTGACTCTTGCTTATCACCCAGCACCACTGGCTCATTTGCGCTCAGTTGGGCGTTTTTCTGACATAAACCCCACTCAGAATACCAGCAGGGAGGTGGGGATTCTGTGTTTCCCCGACTTGCCCAGCGTGCAGTTAGCTCATGCCCAGCACACAGCCGGAGCCTCTAAGCCAAGTTTTCTCAGCTTGTGGATCGCGACCCCTTTGTAAGCTTGACAGACTTTTTCACAGGGATCGCTTAAGACCATCAGAAATATCAAATATTTACATTACTATTCATAACAGTAGTAAAATTACAGTTATGAAGTAGCAAAGAAAAATTTTTTAGGCTGGGGGTCATCACAACATGAGGAACTGTACTAAAGGGTTACAGCATTAAGAAGGTTGAGAACCGCTGCTCTAATCCTAACCGATCTGTGTTACTGCCAAGAAAACTGAGGCACAGGGCGACTTAGTGAGGCAAGACCTGCTTCCCACTCAGGACATGAAGAGTGGATACTGTAACTGAGAAAACCCAGTCCCACATGTGTTGGGTGTCACAGCCTCCCCCTGGCAACCTCTTACAGACCAGGTCCTGGGCTCTCTCAAGGGTGTTGCTGCCCTATAAGACTCCTCCTGGGTCACACAAGGATGGCCCGGCAGTGGATACCATCAGGTACCCCAAGCTAATACTTGGCCACTCCAGCTCCCATTAAATCCCAGAAGGTCTCCTCTTGGGAGCAAAATGTCCCCAAGTCAGGATTTACAGAGCATCTGGTAAATTCTGGAGAGACAGCCTATTTCCAGCCCTGACCTCCATCAGGGGCACAGAATAGGAACAGGTGCAGAGGAACCTGAACTGTGAAGACTCCCAGCACAGAGCCCTGAGTCCCCTCTGCCTCATGCCCTTTTCTGTGATGAGGAAGGGATCAGAACTGTACTCCATTGAGAGCTTTAAGCCCATTGGTAGCTGGCCAGCCCTCCCACCCCCACTCCCCAAAGCCTGGAATGTGCAGGTACAACTCAGTTGATGTTCCCAGGCCCCACCCACCTCTGTCCCTGTGTCCACTGAACTCACAGCCTCCTATCTGTCTTTCTCCTGTATCTAGGTGTGTGCATGTTTGTGGGTGCACCTGAATATGCCCTTTGAGACAGAATGTCCTACTGGGAACTGGCTGGCCGTCCAGCCCCTGAGATAGTCCCTCCTGTCTCTGTCTCCCCAGCAATGGAACTACCAGCATTGAGTTTCTTTGTTTTAGATTTATTTATTTCATGTGTGCAAATATCTTTCCTGAATGTATCTGTGCACTGTGTGTGTGCCTGGTTCCCTCGGAGGTCAGAAGAGGGCATCAGATCCCCTGAAACTATAGTTAAGGGTAGTTGTGTGCTGCCATGTGGGTGCTGAGAACTGAACCCAGGCCTTCTTCAAGAGCTGCAAGGGTTCTTAACCACTGAGCCATCTCTCTCTATCCCAGAAGTTGGCCTTTTTTTTTTTTTTTTTTTTTTTTTTAATATCAGTGTATCTCTGGCACCTAGAACTATGCCTAATAAACTACCAAGCAGGTGCTGGATAAAAAATTAAGCATTGAAGTTGGCAAGATGCTTCACTGAATAAAGTCATCTTCAGCTAAGCCTGATGAAGTAAGTTCAAACCCCAGGACCCACTTAGTGGAAGTCAAGAATTGACTCCTTCAAGTTGTCTTCTGACCAACAAGGTATATACACACAAAATAAATACATGTAGTTAGGCACTATAGTGCACAACTTTCTGTTAGTTTTTTTGAGACAGGGTTTCCCTATGTAGCTTTGGAACCTGTCCTGAACTAGCCTTTGTAGACTAACCAAGCTGGTCTGGAACTCACAGAGATCTACCTGCCTCTGCCTCTAAAGTGCTGGGATTAAAACTGTGCCACCACCGCTGGCTAGGCAGTGTACACCTTTGATGCCAAAACTGAGGCAGGAGTAGAAGGTGGGTCTCTTTGAGTTTAAGGCCAGCCTGGTCTATATGGCCAAGGCTACATAGTGAGACCTTGTTTCAAAAGTAAATAAACAATAAATAAGTAAATTAAATTAACATGGGACTGGAGAGATGGCTCAGAGGTTAAGAGCACTGGCTGCTGCTCTTCCAGAGGTCCTGAGTTCAATTCCCAGCACCCACATGACTCACAACCATCTGTGATGAGATCTGGTGCCCTCTTCTGGCATGTAGGTATACATGCCAGCAGAACATTGTGTGCATAATAAACAAATAAATCTTACAAAATAAATTAATTAATTAAGGTATATGCCACCATAAAAATAAAATAAACATATAAAACGCTTTTTAAATGTTTAAGCAAACTTTTAGGGAATTCATTCATTACTCATGGACTCACTAATCATTTAATTAATAAAAATTCACCAAAGGGGACTAGAAAGATGACTCAGTGACTAAAATCACTTGCTATTCTTCCTGAGAACAGGAGTTTGGCTCCCAGCACCCTTGTTGGGCATCTCATAACAATCTTTAACTCCAATTCCAGAGGATCTGATCCCTCTGGCCTCCTCGAGCACCTGCAATCATGTACACAAATGCACACAAAAACATAATTAAAAATAAAATAAACCTTTAAAAATAAGATGTCCTTGAATCCTTTGAGGCCTTCAACCTTCTTCAGCTCTAGGTTGTTTTATTTTGATGACGCCAGTGGTTCCTGGGAGTTTGCCAGTCAGCAGAAAGCTCAGGTCTGCCAGGGCCCCACATCCCCCTTCCTTGATACCCACTTGCCTTGACCAACTCATGAAGTCCAAACTGTCTCCAAGCCTTCAAGGCCCAAATTTGCGTGATGCTTACTTCAGAGAGCCCTGGCCATGGCCTTGGCTCTGGGGACAAGCTACACTATCATTGGATGACACACAGAGAAAACAGACATTAAAGGATAAGCAATGCATGTGACTCAACACTGGCCTTGCTGAGGGGAGTCAGAGAGACAACACAGGATGGCCTGGGATGGGAGAGGAAGGTCGATTCCAGGTGCCTGCAGAGAAGCCCCCCCCCCAGGAAAAAGTCTATCATAGTTTGCTTTCTATGGCTGTGATGAAACACTGACCAAAGGTAACTTGGCAAAGAGTGGGTTTGTTTCTGCTTACAGCTCACAGCCCATCATTAGGGGAAGCCAAGGCAGGAACTCAGGACAGGAACCTGGGGCAGGAACTGGTGCAGAGGTCATGGAGGAATGCTGCTCCTGACTTGCTTCTTGTGGCTTGCTCTGTGTACTTTCTTGTACCAGGCCAGGACCACCTGCCTAGGAGTGGCACCACCCATAGTGGGCTGGACCATCCCACATCAATCATAAAAAAAAAAAAAAAAAAAAAATGTTGTTCACTCTGCCCTCAGGCCAATCTGGTGGAGGTGATTCCTCAACCAATGTTTCCTTTCCCCCTGTGACTCAAGTTTGTGTAAAGTTGAGAAAACCAATCAGCACGAGGTCAGAGAAAGCACAGGTTGGTCATGTACTAAAGGCCCCATTTGATGGGCCCCTTCAATACAGAGCCTTCTGTAATCAAAGACAGCTAGAAAACAGATAGTCATGGTTATAGTTTTCCTTAGTTATGATAAAAGGTAAGTTACATATAAGACTTCAGAATCACAAAGATAGGATAGATAAAATAGTTTTTTTAAATCTTGCTAAATGTTATTGAACTAAATATTATAATTATAGTTCTTGATCAATAACTGTTTTGTCATATATAATTTAAGAAAGTTAAAACCTTTCTTTTTATTTAGACAGAAAAGAGGAGATAATGGGGGAAATCTTCTGTACATATGTTTCTCTTATTTGTTGATGGGTAAAACACTGTTGGCTAATAGGGAAGCAAGATAGGCGGGACTAGGAGACAAGGAGGATTCTGGGAGAGAGCAAAGTCTCGAAGTGATCTTGGGAGGAGAGGACATGTGAGTATGGTGTTCTCGGTAAGATAAGACCATGTAAAAATCCATGTTAGTAATTATGGGTTAATAATTAAGATATAGCTAGCCAATAAGAAACTCAAGTCACTGGCATTGACATAATTATGTACCCTAGGCTGGCCTTGATCTTACGATCCTTTCACCTCAGGTTTCCAAGATCAAGGCCAGCCTAGGGTACAGAATGATGTCAAGGCTAGCAACTCAGTGAGAGTCCATTTCTAAGAGTAAAAAGAGGGTGGGATGGGTCAGCAGACGAGCGCTTGACTGGCATCAAGTAAATGGCTCTTGCCAGGCAGTGGTGGGGCACACCTTTAATCCCAGCACTCAGGAGGCAGAGGCAGGCAGATCTCTGTGAGTTCAAGACCAGTCTGGTCTACAAGAGCTAGTCCCAGTCCCAGAACAGCCTCCAAAGCCCTGATGCTGGACATGGAAACTCCATGAGGCCCTAATTCAGCTCTCAGGTCTA